ATCTAGTGTACCCAGTACCCAGTTATCCCCTTCACCTATCTAGTGTACAACCCGGTTCTACTCGGGCCCTTTCTCCCCCCTCCTAACATACTACATTGTACCTGCCTCCTCCGTCTCTGCCCGCTGTTCCGTCATGTGCACGTTCCAGGCACCTGTATCGAGTCCCTTTATACGGTATCTCTCCCCATTTCCTCTCAGCTAATCTTCTTCGATGCGCACTGGCTTCTTCCCTTCCTTCTCCTTCACTTCCTCCCATAGGGGTACTTCGCGCATCAGTTTAACCGGCTGCTCGGCCAGCGTCTTCAACCCTGCGCCGAACGGGCCGGAAGAAGAAGAAGAAGAAGAAGAAGAAGGAGAAGAAGAAGAAGAAATAGCGACGACGATGAGGCGAAAGGGAAATCGAGGGGGGATAGGAGAAAGGAGGGGGGCGGAAGAATAAAGGAAAAGTTAAAAAAAAATAAAAAATAAAAAATATTGACGGTTACTTACATGCGTGTTGGCGTCAGGAACAATGACGTGGCAGCGACGACGAGGACGAGGCAACAATGACGATGATGTGGCGATGATGACGATGACGGGGCACTGATAAAGACTATGATGGCGTGGCAATGTCGGCATCGAAGATGGCGACGACGGGGATGACGCGGGAACAATGATGACGAAGATGATGATGACGATGAAGGCCTGGAGCGATGGCTGCTCCACGTCGATCAGGGTGGGCGGGAGGGCGATCGACACCGCTCCGATACCAGTGTGACGGGGCTGAGGCAGAGCAGCGAGGCTGGGAGAGATAGGGAGAGTGAGAGCACACACACACACACTCAACTCGATGCAGACTCGACACGACTCGACGGACGCAGACACAAAGTGGCAAAGTCGCAAAGTCGCAATCTTGGATTCCGAACACAAGGTCGCAGCAAGTCACACTGAAGCACAAGCACTGAGACCAAAAACTGAGTACCCGAACTCAGCTTGAGTCCGGTCTCAAGTATCGGACTCAAGTTGAGTCCCGAGGGCATAAGTGCGATTTGCCTTGGAACTGAACTGAAAATCGAAGGTCTGAGCCTGGGCGCCAGAATGCCAGACGGCGCCAAGTATCCAAATCCGAAACTGCCAGAGGAGGGATTTGAGAATAAGCGCCAACTGCAGAGGGCACCAATAGTCAGGAACCGGAGATCAGTCACTCAAAAATAAAATAGCATCCTGGCAGGTGGTAACCCGCGGACCAAGGATTGAGCCCTGGCTGAGTCCGGTCACAGGCCGGTAGGGCTCTCATGTACAGCAGGGCGCCGAGCCTGCGTGGACCAATGGAACGTCCAGCAGCGCACCCACACTCTTTTGCTGTGGGAGCGCCCGTCGTACTAGTCCAAGGGCAGGACGTGCACAGGAGGGGCCTAGCACACTACCGAGGCTGAGGTTGGAGTGTGCCTTGTACACCGTTGAGGTCCATGAGTAGGGAGCTGGTACGCAGCAAAAGTTCGTGAGCTGGAGTATGGTACTCAGCGGGGGGCCGGAACACCGCACCCTCCGACAATGCGAGCACTTTCCATAAAGGAAAGTGTCCTGCCCCCAGCCAGGCATTCTGGCCTGAGGTAACCTAGCGGCCATGCTGCTGGTGTGAAGCACTGGCAGGCTGCTGGGGAGCTGCCTGGAAAGCACTGGCTGGAAAGCTCACACGGGCGCTGCTGGCGGTGAGGGCTGCATAGGAAGCTGGGGCGAGTCAGCAGTAACCAGGCTGCACTCGCCGATGCACGGTGGCGTGACGGTGGTCTTCGGGTGTTTCGGAGATGCACACTGTGGGGGACAAGGGTAGGAGAGAGAGAGAGAAGATACACATACCTGATGTGCATCCAGCAGTCTGCATGGGCGACTTCTTCATGTACATTGGTCTTCGGCTGGAAGTGATTCCTGGTTGCATTGTCATTAGTTGTAGGCTAGCATCCGTTCAAGAAGAGTAGTGCTAGGCTGGGCGCTGAGCACCAATCAAGAAGAGTGACATTGGATACATTGTTGATGGTGGCGAGTTGAGGCTGATGTTGACATTTGGGCTCATTGCAT